TATTTTGAGCCGTCAATGTTTATTTATTTTATTTAATTTTTGGTGGGAGCCATCAATGTAAAATTAATTTTATAAATTGCAGCATTTTTACAGTTTTGAGGAAAAAATATTATGTAATCCGAACTGTATTAGACTATGATAATTGAGGTCTTTTCTACTTAATGATCATTTTTTTATTTTACAATTTAATATAATTTAATTTAACTTTTTTTTAAACCATCTTTTATATTATTATGATTGAATAACTACTTTTCAAAGAAAAAATTCAAAATTTTTAATCCATTTTCTTTTATTAAGACTTGATTGTAAAAATAAATATAAGAGAAAAATTCTTTTAAACTAAATATATCAAAAAACTTTTATTATTATTTTAAAAGTTATTTTCTCAAATTGTTTTCTATACTTAATTACATATTGTTAACATGTGGATTAAAATGTGATTTGATGAGATCATACAGTAAATTCAATAAATGACACTTCTTTTAAATCCATGCGAGTTCTATTTTTTTGTTTGGGGTAATAAGACCTCTATCTCTAGCTTTAGGATATATGTTGCTTTTCAAATTTCAGTCCCCCAACAACCACAGATCCAATCTAACATCTCAACTTTCATCTTCCATGCCATTTCCATCCAAAAGCTTCAAGACAAAACACAACATGTAAAGAGAGTAGAGGGGCTTGGCTTTGGTTGATTCTTCTTTTCTCTCCTATCCATAAAAGGGTTTTCTTTGATAAAAACATCAGAGTCCGAATTGTGTTCAGAGTGTTCAATCTTTGTGCTGTCCACAAATGAAAAAAGAGAATGTTCAAAGCTAAATATAATGGGAAGGTCCGACCAAATCCCCCACCAAAAAGACTCCAAAGGCATACCAGCAGTCCTCTACGACAAGCCGACACACAACGCACCCAATCTTTTATTCTCCTTAAAGAAACACTTCCAAATGCTACCTTCCACATCTCTTCAGATTTTGCTCCTGACCATTTTCTTCCCTGGACGTACTTTCACCCATTCACATGACCACATATCTCTGCCTTGTTACACATTGCAGTTCAGCTGCCTTTGTTTTCCAACTTTTAGTCATACAGAATCAAATAGCCAGAATGAATGAATTAAAATAATCATCTTAAGTCCTAGCTATGTCCTATATATATGTGCATATGCGTATGAGGTCTCATTAAAGAGTGCTTGAATCAATCCCATTGAGGTTCCTCTTCATCTTCCAATGAGTGAAGATAGACAGATTGATCCAGCAATCGTTCATCCATCCATTGCTCTTCTGCAAGAAAGGTTCAGAGAGTTGGAGAGAGCTAAGGAGATAAGGCAGGAGAAAGAGCTCTTACGGATGTTGCCTGAATCAAGGCAGATCAATGCAGCTATGCCTTACGTGCCATGCAGATCACTTTTCCACCCTATACTCAT